GGCAATCTATTTCTATGGATTTCATGGTGGAACTCCCTCCTTCCCTTACAAAAATACACCACCATACTTGTCGTTGTCGACGGTTTTATGAAAATGTCACATTTCATTCCCTTGAAAAAGTTACCTACATCGTCCGAACTTTCCAAAATCTTCATAGATAATATAATCAAATTACATGGATTCCCTGAAGAAATCATCTCTGACAGAGGTACCCAATTCACTTCACGGTTCTGGAAGGAGATGTGTTCCTCTCTTCAAATCCAACGTAAGCTCTCATCTGCATACCATCCTCAAACCAATGGTCAAACAGAACAAGTCAATCAATGTTTAGAACAATACCTTCGTTGTTATTGTACATATTTACAAGATGATTGGGTTAATTGGTTGCCTATGGCTGAGTTTGCCTACAACAATTCCATACACTCAAGCAGCAAGATGACCCCATTCTTCTCAAATTATGAATTCCATCCGTCTCTGTTTCCTGATGAACCCAAATTAACTTCTAACCCGATGGTTTCCATTCAAAATACTGAAATGTCTTCATTGTTTAAACAATTAAAGAAGAACCTTGAAAATGCTATGGTCTTGCACAAAAGGAATTATGATACTAAGAGGAGAGCGCCTCCTAAATATAAAGTCGGTGATACTGTTTGGCTGTCTTCAAAGAATATTTCTACAACCCGTCCTTCAAAGAAACTGAGTCCTCTCTTTCTTGGTCCTTTTCAGATTGAATCCATTATTAACAAAAGCGCTATGAAGTTGAAACTCCCTCCTTCGCTTAAACTTCATCCCGTTTTTCATGTTTCCCTTCTTAAGCCTTTTCTCCCGGATCCATTCCCTAGAGAACAACTGTCTAAACCTGACCCCATCATAGTGCAGGGTGAAGAGAAATATGAAATAGATAAAATTCTTCACTCAAGACATCATAGGGGTTCCTTACAGTACCTTATCAGATGGAAGGGTTATGGGACCGAAGACGACACGTGGGAAAATTCTTCTGATGTACATGCTAAGAAATTAATTTCAGCTTTCCACAAACGCTATCCTGAGAAACCAATGTAGTAGCACCCTGAGTGTGCTCCTTATGTGGGGTGTACTGTTAGGACTTATCTTTTTAGCTCCATTCTGGCATTTCTGGTATGCGGAACCATCCCCGCCCCCTCTCTGACGCGGCTCTCTCAAGCCTTATAGCGAGACCGCGCCAGATTCAAAATTGCTTAGTGATTTCTGGTTGTTACTTCCGCAATCACATTGCCGGCTAAGCTTTTCTCCGTTAATACTGTGTACCGAACCTTGGACTGTTTAAACAGATTCCTGCCTTCTCATCTCCCTTTGACCACGGACCGTGTATTGGATTTACCTGCTCTCTTTCTAATTATTGGAAACCGGACTGTTTGATGTTTAATCATCCTGCGGACTCAAACTAACCTGTCTTTGGAGGACAACTCCCAACAATCATAAGTATACAATTTGATACTATCTCTGAATTCTTACTTTGCTAATGAACTGTTACCTGCTTGCCAAAATCTGCTACTACTAAAATACTATTACAATTATTAATGCTTTATGTCTTCAACTAACATCCTGCAAAAGCCACGCTGCCTTAAAGCTACAGTAACCTTATTAATTAAAGGATTCTCATTTCACTCTCTATAATAAAACTAAGGAAATTTATAATCTGCAGTTGTGTTCCACATTTAAACCACTTGTGACATAACAGAATCACTAATCCTATAACATGGAACCAGCAGATGTTAATTCCCAAATTACCTCTTTAAATCATAGAGTCGACATACTAACTTAGGTATGCAGGATTTACAAATTGCAAATGAGAGAATTCTCTCTTATAACAGAGAGATCCAAAACAAGGTTTCTCATTCCTCAAGTGATCCTGCTGTCTGCAACCCAGAAAAGTTTTTTGGAGATCGCTCCAAATACAGAGAATGTTTGAATTCATGTAAATTATTGTTTACCTCTTACCCAGGTCATACATATATATGATCTATGTATATATTGTTTTATTTTAAACTGTGTTTTAACTTTGCACATTTTACAAACAGCAGGGGGACTACCTGGAATTACAGGCACTACCGTGGCACTGCTGTGAATGGCTATGCCATCCATGTAATCGTGAGGTCCTCGCAAGGACATCACAATCACATGGCCCAGGAGGGCCAGAACGGCCCACCGTGATCGGCGAGTGGGTAAGTACATAGGAGCCAGGTCCCCAAGTGTGGCATAGCACGCTTGCCGTCCTTAAGGGGTTAATATAGTGCTGAAAACCATTTATATAAAACAATACAAAATAATGGAGAACAAGCAATCAAAATTAATACAGATATATAAAATAAATACGACTTTCTAGCATATGAAAACACATAAATAAAGGCACCTAACTGCTTATTTTGTTGCACTAATTTGAGTACCAACATATGTGAACTGGCACATTTCCAGTTAATCAACAGAAGGCACTGTACATTAGTCATCACACTGCCCTGATTTCAGATAGTCTGACTTCCATGTTCTCAGGGATCCTGAGCTCAGCCTGCTTTGTGGCTTTGTCTAGTTCAGGGGTAGTCAACCTTTTCATACCTTCTGCCCACTTTTGTATCTTTGTTGATGGTAAAATTTCCTTACTGCCCACCAGTGCCCCAGTAACTCATTTTATAGCGCAAGTGCAAGTTTTTTTTTTTTTTTAGAAAGGCTTTAAAAAAAAAACAGTAATTTTTTTCTATTGTCTTTTCTACTTTTTTTTTTAAACATATGTGTCTGTGAGGTGCTGTGTGAAGGGGCCAGTGCATGCGAGGGAGGCAGTGTGTGCAAGGGGTGTAGCATGTGTGAGGGGGCAGTGTGTGTGTTTGTGTTTTGTGTGTGTGTGTGTGTGTGAGGGGTGTAGCATGTGTGATGGGGCAGTGTGTGTGTGTGTGTCAGATGTAGTGTTGTGTGAAGGGTGCATAGGGTCTATGCTGTGTGTAGGTGGGTGAGATGTCCTTTTTTTCTATTGTCTATTCTACTTTTTTTAAACATATGTGTCTGTGAGGTGCTTTGTGTGTGAAGGGGGCAGTGCATGTGAGGGAGGCAGTGTGTGCAAAGGGTGTAGTATGTGTGAGGGGGCAGTGTGTGTGTGTGTGAGGGGTGTAGCATTTGTGATGGGGCAGTGTGTGTGTGTCGGATGTAGTGTTGTGTGAAGGGTGCATAGGGTCTATGCTGTGTGTAGGTGAGTGAGATGTGAAAATCTATCTTAATGTTTCCCCCTCCCTTCTTATTACATTTTACCAGAGAGTGGGACATAATGCTGCAAGCCCTGGTGTACAAGTGGCAGATGCAGGCTGACTCTCCTGTCCTCCTGTGAGCACAGCACTGTGTAGGAGTCACAGTAACGCATGGAAACGCTCCAAGCTGTCTGCTCGCGGAAGGAACACAGAGCCTCCCATGCCCTTCCCTCCCTCTGCTGGAACTAATTGCCAGGGGGCCGGTGATCACCAACCCGAGAGGGGTAACAGCAAGTCTGGCTCTGTATGGGCCAGCAGGGGAGATGAAAGGATATCCCCTGCCTGCCTTGGTCCACGGCCATCGAGGCCCACTAAGCATTTTCTGCACAACAAACTACCGCCCACCTGAAATCCCAAACCGACCCTTAGTGAGCGTTAGGGACCAGGTTGACTACCCCTGGTCTAGGTAGTTGGTGACTTTAATTCATGTTAAGCCCAGCCACTCTAAGGTCTAGTAATACTTATTCTTATCCGATGTCTACAATGTCTGAGAAGATGCCCTTAAAGTCACCCCCATAAAGTGACAATCAGGTCAAAACCTTGGCAAAAACACAACTTCATGTAAATATATGAAAGTCTCTGAGCAGATTAAGCATTCAAAACAGGAAAAATCTTTGCAAAAGCCTTATCGTACTTTGAAGCTAACCTGTCACACCTCTCTGAAATGCAAGTTCTGCTGAGATTAGTTGGCTTCCAAGACCATTCTTTTTAAGCTGTCAAAAATATGTTCCGTATGATTGCTTTTTTTTTTTACCATTACCATGAAACTATTTTTTATTTTATTTTAACAGAATGCTCTGAAAGTAACTTGCCTAAATAAGAGAAACCGTTTGTACAGGTAAAACAGATATCTAAATACATATGTAAGGCATTGAGGGATACATTATTCATACAATCATGCAGCATAAAGCTCTTCTCTCTCCTGTCTAAGAACAATTTAGAAGCCCACAGCAATATAGATTGCAATGATTACTCCTTTTTTTTTTTTTTTAGCATTAATCAGTGATCCTGTTTATATATAGGGTTAGCAGTCTTGAGGGAGAGTTAAGCCTTGCCTATTTGTAGTACCTAATAGTTCATTTGGGTGTAGGGCTGTTATGTCCTGAGATAACAGGTGCGGTGTTCACTAGGTTAGAAGGATTTAGACCACCTTGTGGCACTTACAGTGAGGACTTACATGATACTTAAATTTGTAGTAAGTGATATTTTACATATCTGAGATACCTATTGATGTAGGAAGTCCATATGCATGTTTTTACTTGTTTCTTTTCCTTTTTTCTATCTATTAGTGTACTATATTAGATTGAATTGCTTTACCTCTCTCTTTTTGTTACCATATTTTTCTTACAATACATATGGGATTGCTACTTATGTAGAGTCAGTATAGTGGCTACTTTGTGTTTATTTGACTTAAATGATTGAGATGGCCAGAATTTAGCTTTATATTATTTCTTATCAAGATTTAATGGTTCCATTTATCTTGAAATTTGGTCATTACACCCTGATTATGATAGACATTTTGTAGACATGCCACTTTACATACATCCAAGCATACACTAAGAAATTTTCCTAATAACAACTGCATTGGAAGTGTTTAGGTTGCATTACAAATATTTTTAATTTCCTTTTATATCCTTTGCGATATCACTAGTGATGACCCGAATGGTTCGCCGCGGACTCATCATTGAGTAAACTTTGACCCTGTACCTCACAGTCAGCAGACACATTCCAGCCAATCAGCAGCAGACCCTCCCTCCCAGACCCTCCCACCTCCTGGACAGCATCCATTTTACATTCATTGTGAAGCTGCATTCTTAGTGAGCTGTCCAGGAGGTGGGAGGGTCTGGGAGGGAGGGTTTGCTGCAGGCTAAAGAAGAGAGAAAAAAATATATTAATCTCCAAACTCCAGAAAATACTCACAAAAACAATTCTGTTAATACCAGCCCAGGAATTCAAACCTAGAAAACCAGAATACATAATTAATAAATAAATATCGTATCATATGTCATATCAATAAACAGACAAGACATCTACAAGGGAAACAAATCCAAACTGAACACTTACCGTGACATCCAAATGTCGTCTCACCAAACACCCCCATAATTGGGAGGGTGGGTGGAATAATACTTGCCTCTGTGTCTTTAATAAAATCATGACTTTATGTCATGTTAATAGTAAAATCTGGGAATTTTATTACAGATGCTCCTATTATGCAAGTTTAAAGCTGAGCTACCACCTGAGATGCAATGTGCTCAATCGGTCTGAAGTAGAAATCATAGATGGTCAATTCACGCGACTAATCCGCAGCCCACAGAATATCCTCAAGACAACAACCAACCGCTGAATCCTTCGACGCTATGGCTCCACACACTGAATGAGGCGGAAAAAACAATGTTTCAAGACTGCCAAGGACAGAAGCCAAGAAACCCAACTTGCCAACGTAGGAGTTGACATTGGCAGATGAGGAGTCCAGAAGGAAACGAACAAGGGTGTAAGTCCGGCGCAAAAAGAGATCGTGTAGAATCCAGGTATACCTTCAGACAGTCCACTGGGCAGAGCGCTCGAACGCCTTGGAATCTAGGATAAACAAATGATTTAGAGGCTGACTTCGTCCTCCTATAGAAATTAAAGGAGATACCCTCCGGAGTAAATATAACGGCATCCCAATCCAGTGCTCTGACGTCTGACACTCGCTTCCAGGAAATCAAGCAGAACAACATCATTAGCTTAGCGACAGTTGCATAAGCGTCAAATCCTGATTTGGATACCAACACGTCAAGAACTGTAACACCACATTGACGTCCCACCTTAGGTGGTTGAGCAAGGCGAATCCTCCTGAGGAGATGACACACGAATGTCTCCCAATGGTTGACCCATCTATCCCCCAATGTCCCACCAAGATCGCCGAGCAGAACAAATTGATGGTGCGACATGCTTTCCCTGACTCAAACATGCTAGTGAGAAACTCCAAAATCATATGCAAAGGAGCAGATACGGGATCCAGTGCTCTTCCCATGCACCAACCAGACCACAGTCGCCACAAAGAGCGATAGGCAGATAGAGTACCCAGATCCCAAGCATTGTCGAGGAGGTGTAGAGTTGCCTGCGGAATGCCAGGGAGATTCCAAGGTCCCCGGAAAGGAACCACGCCATCAGGTGCAGATCCAGAAGGTGGTCCTGGAAGTTCGGCATCAAGCGCGGGTAATCTATTGCCATTTTTAGTAACCAGGGAACCATGGCTGCAATCTCCACAGAGGAGTGACCAACACCATCGTTCACTCGTGACGGACCAATTTCGAGAGCTTGCGCGCAATCAAGTTGAACGGAGGGAAGGCATACAGTCGAGCGTCCGGTGAAGTCTAAATGAAGGCGTCCATTGCCACAGCCGCTGGATCCAGTCTCCAACTGTAAAACTTCGGTAACTGGGGGTTCAGCTGGGACATAAACAGATCTACTTTGAACGGTTCCCATAAATGCTCTAAACCTTGAAATGAGGAAGCGTGTAAGCGCCAATCCCCAGAGTGTTTCAAATATCTCGAATTCCAATCGGCCCATGAATTGTCCAGCCCCGAGATGTGTTCCGCCATCACCAAGACGTTCTTGCAAAGACAGAATTGCCAGAAATCCTTTGCCATGAGCACTAGCATCTCTAGCACTCGGAGGCAATGGATACCTTCCATCTGGAAGTGTTGGTACTGAAGGAAAGCATTGAGAGGACGGAGGTTTATCACAGGGCGAACCCCTCCTGGCTTTTATGGCCCCAGGAAAAGGTTGCTCGTGAAGCTCAAATAGGCGTACGGCAACTCTTGGATCGCACCTTTTGTGAGCAGCTCTCGGATCTCTGAGGTAATTAATGACTCCTGTTCTGTCGACATGCTGAGTTCCCTGGGGACACAATACTGAACAGGCATAGACAGGAAATCGAGGTGATAACCTAGTACAGTTTGGAGACGCTAAGCATCTGATGTCACGGCAGCCCACCCATGATAAAACTGGGCCAACCTGCCCACCACCCGCTCGTGGGAATGGAAGTGAAAAATGGGTACTCACAATAAGGTCTTCGACCAAGGGTAGTGAGAGTTACATGGTCTCCCTCTGGATGGAAGAAGGTCGGAGCTTTGGCGTCGTGGAATCCCCGTGTAGGGAAGAAGGAGCCTCGAGTGGCTCGGAGTCACCCTCCACACTCCGGTCGGTATCCGACTTCTCCTCACGGGACCTAGCCAGTTTCCACAATCTGGCCTTTTTAGCCTGGCCAGGGGCTCCATCAAAAGGAAAAAATAAATGTTTAAGCAAGAATAAACCAACAAGGCATCACATATATGTGTATACATAGTTCACATACATTCAATATAGTGCATCAACAAATAGTAGGTTATTAATTGTTGAGGACAACATCCAACAATTATAAATGAATTACACATACAGCATTTATAAGCAATAAACATTACAGGGTCATGTATCTAAATAAATAGGTGAGTAGCCAAAAGGAAAGTTGTATCAGCATAAGTAAAACAGGGTGTCACCTATCTGAACCATCTCCTGATCTCCATGTGTCCTACGTATTCCAGGCATCCTAAAACACTGGATTAGAAAAGGTTTACACAGCTGTAAAGTTATGCTCATACATACTATTTCTGTCAATAGATTTAAGCCAGCATTAACCATGGGGGAGGGGCTTTAAATATAATATTTAATAAAACAATTTTGTTGAACTTGATTGTAGGTTTCCTGCAATATGAAGTAACAAATAAATATGTGGAAAAAAATGTAAGTCTTAAAGGTAAGTCACTAGAATAGAATGCATCCATGCCCCAAAATTGTTGAATAATAGGTCAGAACCACTATATATGGATCAAAGTTCCTACATTTTTTGTCATATCCAGCATATGTTAAACTTTCAGATATATATGTTTGTTCCAATGGAATATATTTTGGTGTCAGAAGGTGAAACTTATTTATCAAAGATAATTGTAAACAAGCATAACGCACACTGTATGGGAGATTATAATTAGATTATATTTAGATTGTAATATGTGAAAGTCTAAAATGGAATTATGTGACAAAACATGATATATGTGGGTAAGTAAGAGGTTGCTCCAAGATTTTGAATAAAAAGTGCACAATGAGTAATGCAATGCAGATTGAGGCATTGATTATGACAGGCCACAGTACAAAGCTGTGGTCTATGTTTATCCCATAAACTAAAACTCATAGGGAGATAAGACAAGTATTTTAGGGCGATTAAACTTGGGGATCTATGGTAAATTACTAATGGTGGGAGAAGTAACAGATATGTTTTCAAAAGAGACCCATTGTGGTTGTTCAGAAAACAGAAATAATTATATGGATAAAGCAAGCAGGGTAGCTTTAAAATACATATGGACACTTGGCACTACCAGTCCATTAAAAACTTGCAGTGAATTCCTGGGTTGTTTGCCAGCCCACATACATTTTACCATATGGGCAGATATACCCATGCATGTCTGGATGAGAAGCTTAGCAGGAAACACCCAGTAATACTGTATGAGAATGAAAAACACTAGGGAGGTTAGCTTTGTCATTGATCATTTGAATTCCAGTAGTGGGGCAGAAAGATCTGTAAAGAGGTAGATATTCTTGTATTTATCTGGACATTTTTAAAAAAAATTTTAATCTCAACTAGCTTTCAAAATGTGATCCTTTACATGATAGAAATGATCATTGGTATGACAAGGTCACTTTTTAGTCACCGAATCCTGTGACAAACTCCTTGACAAAACTCAAGGAAGCACTGTATTTTTAATTGTACTATATGTGTAACACTCAGTGATGGTTCATGCATAGGGACTTGACATATAAAAAAATAAATAAAAAAAAATCTGTTTACATTGCTTCTCTGAGTGGGAGGGTTAAAATGGAAATATCCAGTATAAATGATAAATACAAACCATGTAGTGTGGCAGTTCTATAATTTCCTCTCCATTTCTTCCACTACAGTACAAACCTACTTGCCAATAGCTGTATAGATAAGCTGTTGTGAGTAGCTGGGCATGTGCAGAACCCAGGTCACATTCGAAACATACTCAATCTGAGAGCACCTTAGACATGCTTAGTATGGCCGTGGAGATTCTAAACTTCCCAAACTTACTCTAGTTTAATCTGGATGACCTATTGTCAATAGTTCAAAAGTCTTACAATGTCATACAGAACTACTATTTAACTAATAGCCTAACAGTAGAGAATAAGGCTTGTGATTAAAATAACGTTTGTAATTTGGCCTTTATATAGTAATATTTTACATGTTCATGCTTCTAATTTTAGTCCTTTCATTTTTATGAAGTGTATTGCAAGTGGCATATTTATATTACAATGTTAATGCATATATTATCTTAATATATTTTGCAAATGCTATTACTGAAATATGGATTAATTACATGAATTTTACTTTTTGAGCTTCTGTGGAGTGAACATTCAAGAGTGAATAGATTTTCTTACTTACGTGTTGGCCCATGAATTATAACATATTCACTACATGTGACATCTCACACATTGTTTGTTTTTGTACATAAATATACAAAGCAACCCACAATCTCACCTTCAGTGATTGGTGTTGGACCAAAAAAAAAAAACATGTAGCTTGTTAATAGTAATTGTACAGCTTCCCCAGGTGATGTCCCAGGATATGCCCCCTTAAAAAACAGTAAAAACATTGAGAATATTTGGGGATACGGCTGTTAAATAACAAGACAAGAAAGCAGTAACATAGTGTAATACAGTACAATATAAATAACACACTGTACAGACAGAGATGCATTTACAAGATGAATGATGATATCACCTCTGGGTGCCTCCCCTTAGCTATCTGGGGGTAATCCAGTGATACCAGGTGATAAACTC